AATTCTTTAACATCGATTTAGAGATTTTACATGTTCCTAAATCTGTTAATTCTACAGATATTTTCTGTAAGGATTTAACGCATGCGCGAAAACAATGCAGTGATTCGACTAAAGCTGAGTACGATTGAGTGCGAGAGGTTAAGGCGAATTTAGTGTTTTTATTATTATCATAGTGTCGGCAAGAAAGTTTAATTAGAAAGGAAACGTCTTAAGTATATAAACATTATTATAGAAATAAATTATTACAATTTTTTTATTTTAAAATTAACTGTAGTGATTAAGTGAGAAAAGTCGTTTGTTTCAATTTCTCGACATAAGAAAAAGTGGATTTATCATAAGTTTTGAAAACTTGCTCCTCATTTTTTTTGTTAGAAAATTATTGAAGGATGAATTTATTTACATAGAAGTTATACTAATTTATACAATAATGTTCAGCGAATTTAATGTATTCGGAGGAGAATATAACCTATAAGAAATACTCTACCAAATATATATTATCCCCATATAGTATACATAATTTGGTCACTCAACAGTTTTTAAGAACTGTAGCTCAAACTTGTAGAATTAACAGATTTTAATGCCAATGATTCAACATATTTCTCTATTTGGAGAAACATCAGTAGATGGCGCAGGAGTTTCTGTAAATTCTACAGAAAATTTTTTTCCGTGTAGGTACTAAATTGTCATTTGGTTCTATTTTGATACCTAAAATCGGTACTATTTTAGTACCTTTTTTTTACAGTGCAGAGAGTAGAAATTCTGTTTAATAATAATTTGAACTATTGTTATTATATTAAATAAAAATTCTAATAAATAGAAATTCTAAACTGAAACATTTTGTTCCCAATCAAAAAGCATTGGATTTAGCAGAAAGGCTGAAGTCAATAAATAAGTTATTAGTAGAACTATAATATATCGCGCATAAAGGTAATGATAATAATAGGTATAAATTTTATGTACTTTGGACAATTTCAGATAATAGATAACATATATATATATATATGAATTGTTGAATGAATTATATATAGATATTTCTCTGACAATTCATAATTTCTCTCATTATTATATACATATATATAGGTATTTAAATTTGTTTTTCTAGTTCTTCTTTCCGGTGAGAAGCACCGTTGAAATCTGAGAGGTATATGGCACTTCGTAGACTTCTCTTGTCAGAGAATTGTCGCGTTGATGTCGCACGCGGCGCATAGAACATGACTTTAGTAGTCGACATCTACAAATGCAATATATAGCGAACACACACGAATGCTGCGCATTACTTCCCCTAAAGTTGATTGCATTGAAAAGTTATCGGATGTTTTGCATTGTCTCACTAATCATTCTACTACTAACGAGCACATCAACTTCTTCCACTTTGGGTCCATTCATAACAACACACACACGTATATATATATATATAGAGTCTGCGTTGGCTAAATTTAAAACTAATACTTATAGATATCTCTATATATTATAAAAAGATTTCGCCGCTGTTTCCAGCATAGGTCATTTCATGCCAAGTGTATCCAACCCATGTTTTTGACAAGATTAGGTTGGTTACTCTTGACATGGAATGATCCATATATTAGTATTTTAGTTCTGATTTTAACCTCAAACCCACAGGCAAATTTACGTGGAACGACCCATATATCTACCTATATTAGTATTAAAACGAACATAACCTCAAAATTCAAGGTCCTAGGTCTTCGGGATTCAAGGTGATGGATCAAACATAACATTAAAATTCAAAGGCATAGGGTTTCAGGATTCAAGGATAAAGCTGAAACATAACCTTAAAATTCTAGGGTAAAGGTTTCCAGGATTCAAGGCCTTATTTCAAACATAACCTCAAAATTCAAGGACATAGGTCAAGGGACCGTTGGGTTTGAGGCTATGTCCATAACAAACATAACTTCAAATTCCCCAAACTAAGAAACGAACATAACCTCAAAATTTAGATAAAATTTTAATAATTTTAATACTAGCAAGCCTTTAAAAAATTAATCATTAAAGTTAAAAAATAATAGGGGATGACACGCTAAGTGTGCAGGGGGCTAGTATATATATATATATATATATACATTCACTGATGCATGAATGTCATTGACCTGTTTTAAAATTCTCTTCTATACCTTTCTATATATCTCACAAAACTTTTTCCATGAAATTCTATATATCCATTTTTGTACATCAAAAACAATAAGTTGACATATCAAACTTCCTCGAGACTTGAAACTTTCATTTTAGTTTCATTCAAATTTCTCAGCAAAACTTTAACCGCGCGTTGAAAAGCATTGTTATTTTCTTTCATTTAATGTTATTCAATTTTACGTCAATGAAGTTCACAACGTTTATGAACATCGATTTATAAGAAACATATTTCTTTACATATATACAAATTATCATTTTTTTTTTTTTTGAAAAATTTTAATTTTAATCGTTGATCATAAACGTTGTAAACTTTACCGATGTTGAATTTTTATAATATGAAATATAAAATCACTTTTTTTAAGGTTATTGAATTATTATAGAAAATTGTTTTTTTAAGATTATTGAAGCAATTTTTAAAAATATGAGAAATTATGGAAAGTGAAAGAAAATGATTAGAATAATTTTTCATTATCAGAATTTTGGATAAGAAATTGAAATATGGTTAAAGCAGTAATTATTTTCGATTGCATTTTATAAAACTGTACATGGAAACACCATTCTATAATTATAGTATATAGCCTTCGTAAGGAGGCTAATAAAATTTCTAATGTTGACTTTTTTTAAAATGGTAAGAGATGTGTTGAGAGATTTAATTTCCTTGGCTATATGTCAACTTTTATTAACTGTTAAGAATTAACAGGTCTTAATTTTTAAGGGTGTTCAAAGAAAACTGCATGGCAAATAAAAAATAACTTAGTGCTAAGAAAAGGGAATTTTTTTTTACTAATTACGATTACTAAAAACTGAAAAAAAAAATATTAGATTTCGATTAACTGCTGAGAATTAAAAAATTATGTTTAATTCAAACAATATCTTTGCTATACAGTCAAGCATATTTAAGTCTATTTCAATAATACATTTTTGTTTATAAAATATTTTATATTAAAACATAAATTTTGTTTAATTCAAATTTAGTATGCAACGTGGTATGCAATTAAATATATTACGAAAAATAATTCTTTGGTTGATCTAATACATTATTTTATTTCTACACACAGTTTTCCTAAAAGTATCAAATTGAGACCAAAAATTGCATCAAATCTTTGCAACGTTTTGATGCACATAAGTTATATCAAAAAGAGATTGTTTTGTGTATCATTTTTAGAAATGGTCTCTTTTTTTGATGCAAAAAATTGAATGAATTTATATCAATCATGGCCGAATTGAATCGACTCAAAATTAAACGAATTTTTTTCAGATATTTTGGTAATAGTACAATTGCGGAGACCATTTCACTATTTAATTTGAAAATGAAAATAACAGAAAATCAAAGACAATGTGCAATTCGATAATTAAAAAGTGACAGCTTATAAACATAACCTAAAATGCATGAGAAAAAATTTGTCGATAAAATCAATATAGCCGAGCTTTTTAGAAGGTAGATGGCAGTTTTGCTTTTTATAAAAACGATTCAGAAAAAATTTAAAGAAAGAAAATAGATGAGTGCTGCCATCTACCTTCTAAAAAGCTCGGCTATATTGATTTTATCGACAAATTTTTTCTCATGCATTTTAGGTTATGTTTATAAGCTGTCACTTTTTAATTATCGAATTGCACATTGTCTTTGATTTTCTGTTATTTTCATTTTCAAATTAAATAGTGAAATGGTCTCCGCAATTGTACTTTTACCCAAATATCTGAAAAAAATTCGTTTAATTTTGAGTCGATTCAATTCTGCCATGATTGATATAAATTGATTAAATTTTTTGCATCAAAAAATGAGACCGTTTCGTGTATCATTTCTAAAAATGATACACAAAACGATCTCTTTTTTATACTGTGGCAATATTCTGCACTTTGAATAAAAATACAGTAAACTTAATAAACACAGAATAAACTTTAACTTGAAATAATTTCCGAACAATACAGGAAAAATAATTTTTTAAGTTAAGAATCATGTCAAAATTTTATTGACGATATAAAAAAAAATCAGTGGAATATCTGAATTGTGACACTTTGCAGGGAATGGTAGCTTCTTTCGATACATGGCTGGGAACTAGAATGTAGAGAAAAGCAGGGTGAAGCAGTTGTCAAAAGTATAAAGCTACGTCATATTTTGGACGTTCTACTGGAATTTCAGTGGAAATTTATATGCACCCATTTTAAACTAACTTTTAAGTTTAAATCAAACGTTAATAATTTTCATTTCAAACAATTATTAATATTTTTTAATGAAAGTGACAGATATTTTCCATATATTGAAATAAAAATTACAAACTTAATTAAAATCTATTTAAAAAATTTTAATGTAATGTGTTAAACTTTGACGTTTTTTTTTCTTAAACTCATCTGCAAAAATTCAAAAATTTCAAGGCACATATATTAAATTTTATTAAATAATTGTCCAAAATGAATTCTACCAATATCAAAAAGAATTATTAGGTATTATAAGAGTTTTCCAAAAATATAGGTCGCACTAATGACATTAGGTGAAATATATTATAACGAAATTATTAAATTAATTAATATTATTAATTAATAACCCCTTTTAATTGTTACAAAAGAAACCCAACATGATAATTGTCAGACGCCAGCCAATTTTTAGATGGAATTGGCAAACCAGAGAAAACACCAAAATAACCCCAGAACTCAAATCAATCAAATGAAATCTCAGAGGAGATTCTGTTGAAAACGAAAGTCGCAAAAAGGGACACGACCCTTGAGACACGACACAACCAAAATTGGACTTACCCACGACGATCAAATATCAGCACCAGCTTCCTCTCGGCAGGTCCTCGTGGTCGATGAGACTCGCCGGTGTCGAGAAAAAGGGCTGATAAATAAAACACTAATTAACACTTCTTTTCTATTTTATTTGAGTCGAACTCAGTTTCGACTCCCTCTCAACACACTACAATTTTCCTCTGAAAACACACAATAGTACTCGAAAACTCAAACGTGGACACACTACAGTACCCCTGTACTCGCTATCGCGTCCATTGACAAAATCTAATGATTCTCTCTCTCGATCCCTTCGTCTACGCCTCGTTCCATGAGTGGCCGCCGCGATGGCGCCACCTCCTGGACTCCTGCGTTGTCTCTGCTCCAAATCCCCAAAACGCGTGAAACCCAACCCCAGTCAAAAATTGCCTTGTGACGAATTACTTCGTCACAAACACCCCTCCCCTAGGCCGTTACTACTCCCAGCAGTAACGCCTAACCACAACACCAAATCCAAGTCGAAAACATTCTGTCTCTCCGTCGACGAAGCCTCTGTCGTTGATCTCGTTCCCTTTGTCTCATATTACCCTTGTCGAAATTCCTCCTCGAATCTAAAATTATATTATCATTAGTAAAAATTAATGACCTCGTGGGGGAATGTATCGTTTAAGGTCTGAGACATGGATTTTAGGAATACGACGACTCTCGTTATCGCTTAAGACAAAAACCGTAGGTGATAATTTCTCCACGATCTCGAAAGGGCCTTCATATTTCGGTGCGAGTTTTGTCGCGAAATTCTTGGTACCACTCGACAATTTGTGTGATTTACGAAGTACTAAGTCACCCACGTTAAACAACCCCTCACGTCGATTACGGTTATAGTACTCGGTCTGTCGATCACGTTCTTTGTCGATAAATTTCGCTACCAAGTCTCGCAACGCATCCAACCTCTTTACTCTGTCTACCCAATCTTCTGGCGCAATTCTTTTAACCTGATCTCGTGGTTCTACCTCCCGTCGCAAACTTTTAACCGGTCGAGGATGTCTTCCGTAATTCAAAAATGCGGGAGACGTTTTAGTCGCCACCTGTGTCGCAGTATTCATAGCATGGCGAAACTCGTGAACATGAAGATCCCAGTCGCGATGATCATTCCCTATGAAAGTCGCAATCATGTTCTTCAATGTCCGATTACTCCTCTCCACAGGATTAGCTTGCGGGTGGTAGGGTGGTGTGGTGATGTGTTTGACACCATATTCCTGAAGCGTTTCCTTGAGGAACTTGTTGTCGAACTCCTTCCCATTGTCTGTTAATAAAAAGTCAGGGGTTTCCCAGCGAAAGAGGACCAATTCTTCAAATGCTTTGGCCACCGACTTTCCATCAGCTGATCGCAACGGTTTCACCTCAACCCACCTCGAGAAAAGATCTTGGAACACGACAAGATATTTACACCTACTCTTGCTTGATGGAAACTCCATCGTGTCCGCTGCCACTACAGCCCAAGGTCGCTCAACTATCCTCTGTCCCATTAGTCCTGCCGGTCCTGCTTGTGATGCCTTGTGAAGCTGGCACTGGGGACATCGAGTGACATACTGGTGGACATCATTCCAGATTCCTTGCCAGTAATATTCTCTCGCCACTCGATTGTACGTTTTCTCCACCCCCAAATGACCTGCCGACGCCAATCCATGGCCGTCGTGGAGAACTCTCTCTCTGTACTCCTCAGGTACCACCAGTTTCCAACCATCCTCGTCGCCAACAATCGGAAGGAGTAACGGGTCACTCCTATGTCGATAAAGATGGTCGTTCTCAATTTTCCATCCAGGAAAACGCTCCGGGAATTGTCGAACCAAATCTCGTCGCTTAAGGTACCATTGATCCATAATGGTATCAAAGGCATCGATCATCTCTTCGTCATCCTCACTCATCCTGGACAATGCATCTGGGACTTGGTTCAATACACCTCTCCTGTGAATGATTTCAAAGTCCCACACCTGCATTTCCAGGGCCCATCTCGCTAGTCGACCACTCGGGTCTTTCAAGTTTCTAAGCCACTTTAGGGCACTGTGATCTGTGATCACCTTAAACTTGTATCCCTCGATGTACGGTCGCAACTTCTTAATCGCCCACAACAACGCTAAACACTCCTTCTCCGTGACGCTATAATTCCGTTCTGCCCCTGTCAGAACACGGCTGATATACATCACCGGATGTTCACCGTCGTCAAACTCCTGAGTCAACACAGCTCCAATAGCAAAATTACTCGCATCACATTGGATGGTGAATGTCTTACTAAAGTCAGGACGGGCCAACACTGGCGCTGTCGTAAGTTTGTCCTTCAACTTGTCGAAAGCCTCTTGTTGCTCCTCGCCCCATTCCCAGTCTCGACTCTTCTTGAGCAATTTAAGAAGAGGTATCTTGATTTCGCTATCGTTTTGGATAAATCTCGAATACCACCCCACCATGCCCAAAAATCTTCGGAGTTGTTTGACGTTCTTTGGTGCTGGATAGTTTCTCACTGGCTCGGTTTTTTCGGGGTCTGGTCGCAATCCTTCATTGTCGAGAAGATACCCCAAGTAGGTAACCCTAGAGTACCCAAACTCACATTTCTCTGGGTTAACCACAAATCCCGCGTCTGCCAGCTTCTTCAAAACTATCTCCAGCCATTTCACGTGTTCGTCGAAAGTATCTGTCACAATTATTATATCGTCGAGATAACCAAACACGTGAGGTTCAAATTCCGGTCCGAAAAGAGCATCAATTACTCGTTGAAAAGTCATCGGCGCGTTAGTCAAGCCGAATGGCATTCGTCGATATTGCCACAGTCCTGAGCCGGGGATGGCAAAGGCCGTGTACTTTCTGCTCTCTTCTGCCATTGGAATTTGGTGATATGCCAGTTTCAAATCGATCTTCGACAAGTATCGCGCCTTCCTCAACTTGTCGAGTATGGAGTCTATCGTCGGAATTAAATAGGCGTCCTTGACGGTAACCTTGTTGACATCCCTATAGTCCATACACATTCGAAAATCTCCATTCCCTTTTCTGGCAATCACCGGTGCACTCCTCCAGTCGCTACTTGATGGTTCGATCACGCCTTGCCCATGTAGTTGAATCATGTGTCCTTGAGCCCACGTGATCATAATAGGTGACATGCGTCTCTGTCGATGCTGTACTGGTGTCTCGTCTGTAACCCTTATATGGTGTTCTGTCAGATTTGTCACCCCCAGTACGTCAGATTCTGGAAGAACCAATCGGTTCACCATTTCTTGAATGATCTCTCTTTGTTTGTCCGTCAACGCAGAGATTCCAGCGCATTCAGCGTAGATCGACTCATCACTCTCAATCCCATCCTTGACGCCAAAAACATGCCAGTCGCCATTGAAAACTCTCCATAACCCCAGTCCCAATTGTACCTCCATATTCCAGGCTTTACAGAAATCCACACCCAAAATTATGTCTTGTACTACTGAACTAAGGACCTTGACGCTAAACGGTTGAGAATGGCCATCCACCTCGATGTTCAAATTCAACAATCCAGCTGTCTCAGTTACTCCTCCAATGGCGCTTCTTATCGATGTATTGCAAGGCTGGATGCGGCTCTTATAAGGCTCTGCCACTCTGTCGCTAATCACCGAGATCATCGCTCCAGGGTCGAAAAGTGCCTCATAAGATTTGTCGCCAATGGTCATTCGAAAGAAATAACGATTTTCCATACGACTTCCGTCTACATCCTTGTCGAATAAGGGTTATGGGTCAGCTGTGCCCGTCACAGCCTCTCCCCTCCCCTGGACTATTGGTACTGACTCCATTTCAGTATCTTTAGTCCCATCTGTCACTAACACGTTTTTGAGTGAATGCTCTCCACTCATTTGGCTTTTTGGTACCTGCGTCACAAATTTAAATGAATTCTTTTCATTTAATTCGTCAGTACCAACACTCTCATCACACTGTGTGAGTGGTCTCTTCCCACTCTGTTGCCCACTACAGGATGCACCCTCGTTGATGGGGAAAAAATTTAACCCTCTTGGTTTACTCTCCTTTTCCCCTGAACCTTCTCCAACCCTGGTCGCTACCCCGTCGTTAAGAATCGGTTTTAAGGATTCTTCAGTGGGTTGGAGGGGGGTACAGACCCGCTCTGTGCCCCCCATTGTCCGTTTCCCAAAGCGGCCCTCACTTGGACGCAATTCGGACAATTAAGGAAATTCACGCCAGGCGCTCGACAAACAAGGCATGACTCTACCTGGACTCTAGCTGGACACTGTGCCGCGAAATGACCACGCTGTTGACAGACAAAGCATGTCCTCATGGGACATTCCGAAACTTTGTGTCCGACCATTTGACATGTGAAACATGCCCCCACAAATGACTTCGACCCGCCCGTCGCAATTTGTGTTATATGTCCAGTATTTGCAACTCCTTGTTTTGGTGGAAATTGGCGCTTGCCTTTCCCAGCGGCCACTGTCGCAAAAGTAGGGTTAGAAGCCCGTATCGGAGTCGCGGATGGCTGAGGACTTGATTGCTTAATTGCATTCACCTCTGTAGTCCCTTTCTCAGAATCGGTCTTCTTTGTCTTCTTCGACTTTTTCCCCTTACTCTTCTTGTCGACCACCTTCTCTACCTCGCTACCCGTCGCTGACTCGTCTTCTAAAGCCGCTATCTTCTTGGTCTCTTTAGAGGAAGATGGCTTTTTCTCATCCTTCTTCGCACCCTTATAAGCCGCGGCGGGAAAACGCATTTTCTCTTTAGGGGGAGGGGGAACGTATCTGTCGTCGAGGTCTTGAACCTTTTCGAACTGTCGCAAATTTCTCTCTAATTTCGAGAGTGATTCTAACCCCGATGAATCAACTTGTTTACGATAAGTGGGGGTAAGTCCCTTATACGCGATTTTAACCTGTTCCCTGGTCGACAATGGTTTCCTAAGGTGCCCCATTATCAGTCGCAAACTGGTTATGTAAGAGGATATTTTCTCCCCTTTCGCTTGGGTCCTACTCCTCATCTCGTCTATCACTTCGTCGTCATCAATGGTCGTTAAATACTCTCGTCGAAAAGCTTTTTTGAATGACCTCCACGAACCGATTTCTTTACGAATCGTGCGGAACCACCTACTCGCATTACCCTTAAAAATGCTGGGGAGTGTTTGGAGGAGATCTTCATCGCTTATCATGGCGCAATCTCGGCAGTCTTCAATCCTCTCTAAGAATTCTTCGGGATCTTCTCGCTCTTCACCCGAGAACTTAATATCCCAATCTTTAAGAGTCCTATTGATTTGAGTTAATCGAGAAGCTACACGATAGTCTCTTCGCCTCTGAGTCCTGTCGCTAACGTCAGTCTCGTTATCAGTTGAAGAATTGTCGAAAAGTGTCCTCCTAGCATTAACCCGTGGTGTATTTTGGGGGGTATGCCTTCGGCTAGATTCCCTACGTTCTTGACGACTCCCTCCCCTAGTCGAGAATCTGTCGCTAACTTCCGATCTCATTCTACTATTGTCGCTACCTAACTCGCTGGGTTCGCTCTTTACGCCTGAACCCCTTTCTCTCTTTATGTATGTGCGCCTACTGTCACATACTTCCCCACTCCTAATCCTGTTTTCACCTACTGTCCGGGGGGTTGGGTTAGGGATGGTGTTGGGACTCTCTCCTCCTGATTGGTCCTGATTAACAGAAGTTATTTCATCCCCTTCCCCAGTCGCAAATTCTACTGGATTTTGAGATGGCCGGTGGAAATTGCTATTATCCCCCACATTCTGACCCATACTAGCAGCCATTAAATGGTTATTAATACGGATCAGCTGTTGTAGTTCTGGACTCAAGGTAAACTTGGCTACAGACTGTCGCAAGCTAATCACCCCGGGCGACATCGTCGCTGAAACCCTCATTGACGGGGCAGAATTCACGGTGGTCGTTGGCGCAGAGTTCATAGAATGAACGGCTGACATTCGTGGTGGGGAATTCGTGGGGATCGACGCTGTGGACATCACCGGTGGTGATTGTGGAAGGGGCGGTGGAGGGGTTGGAAAGTCATCGGTGGTCGGACTTGGTCTGCTGTGCGATGATTCACTTCCCCCCCTTTTTCTAATGGCTCCTTGACTTTGTCGGTCTCCTAAATATCCCAAGTCACGAATCGACCGTGAATTTTTCTCCTCGTCGCTACTCGGATAAAACTCGCCTCCTCTTTTAAGATTTACGTTGGGCAATAAACTCTCTTCCGTGAATGCCTCAAACTGAAAAACTTTGACTGAGTTCCCCTTATCGTACTCGTCGCAAAAGGGCACGTCAGTTTCTGGGGGAAGCGCGAGTTTTAATTCTGCCCGAAACAGTCGTTCGCGCAGAACTTGTAAAGAGCCACTAATACATAATTGATTAGTCAGCAGGCTCGTTACCACCTGTCCTACCGGCATTCCTAAAATCACTTGCCACAATTCCTTCGCCTGTGGAATTGTTAACAAGAGACGCATCCTTTCTTTGTAGAAATGCATTCGTTCAATTGCCTCTGCCATCTTGAACGCTCGAAAAATTTAATTGTCGAAAAACACAATAAAAATTTTTTTTTTTTTTTAAAGGGGGCCCGTTCCCTACTAGATACGGCACTGGTCAATAAATAGAAATTCCACTAAATAATCGAGTCGCCACAAAGAAAATTTTTCTCCCTTAAAAATTTTCACGCAATATTGTAAATTAATTTTTGAAGGGCCCGTCGCTCCGTTGACACGGCCCTGGTCAATAATTTTTATACACTTGCTTGACTAGTCGCAAAGGAAAATTTTACTCCCTAAAATTTTTCAGTTATTTTGGAATTCTAGAAATAGGGGTGCCAATTTTATAGGTACGGCCCTGACAATTAAATTCAAGTTAACACAACTTGACTTTTCACAAAAATAAATTGTCGCAAAAATTAACCTGTCGCAAAAATTAAATTTAATAAAATTTATAATTTTTGGGGCCCGCTCACTATTAGTTACGGCAGTGGTCACTCGTAAAAATTCAATTTTATAACCGGGTCGTCATTAAGAGAATTTTTCCCATTAAAAATTCTCACGTAAAATGTCAATTAATTTTTGGTAGGGCCCGTCGGTCCGTTGACACGGCCCTGGTAAACAAAAAGAAAATTCAACAATTACTTGACTTGTCGTTAAGGAAATTTTACCCACTAAAATTTCCAATTATAATTAAAGAAATTTTTTTTTAGATGACCGTCGCGATAATAATACGGTCCTGGATTAATTTTTATTTATTTAACAATTCTCTTTTTTAAAAGTCACACTAATCGACACTCAAATTTATTCCACGCGTTTCATTTAAAATTTTCAATTTCTCCACTCATTGAAAATTTTACAAGTCGCAAGATTCCCTGCTGCGCAAGTCACAAGTGTTTGAAATTTCTATCTTCTTCCAAGTCGAGAAGCATGGGTCTCAAATTCAAACACCGAGATATCACGTAATACGCATGCGCGACGAATCACATGGTATGGTACAATTAATACGCCGGCCACGTGGGAAGCAATTATTAATAATAAATAATTTTTTCAAAATTTAATCACGCACAAAAATCCAGAAAAATTCACTGATTCCGAGAAAAATCGATTCGTCAAAATCGGTCGAGAAATGTCTCTGAAATTAATTCTTGAAAATTTCTACACGTGACTATGGCGGACGCTATGCATATTAAATTTACCTGGGAACACTCGCGAAATTTTCTCACTTTAATTGCCCGAACACAACTCCTCAACCATGTCGCAAATTATAAATTTCAGGGCAAAAACAATAAATTCATTACATGAAAAATTACAATCAGCAACAAAATATTTTCTGTCGAAAATATCAGGTCGAGAAAGTCACAAAAATCAAGTCACAAAAATTTTGTCGTGTCTCAAAGTTTCTCAACGAGGCCCCACGTTGGGCGCCAATTTTTTATAACGAAATTATTAAATTAATTAATATTATTAATTAATAACCCCTTTTAATTGTTACAAAAGAAACCCAACATGATAATTGTCAGACGCCAGCCAATTTTTAGATGGAATTGGCAAACCAGAGAAAACACCAAAATAACCCCAGAACTCAAATCAATCAAATGAAATCTCAGAGGAGATTCTGTTGAAAACGAAAGTCGCAAAAAGGGACACGACCCTTGAGACACGACACAACCAAAATTGGACTTACCCACGACGATCAAATATCAGCACCAGCTTCCTCTCGGCAGGTCCTCGTGGTCGATGAGACTCGCCGGTGTCGAGAAAAAGGGCTGATAAATAAAACACTAATTAACACTTCTTTTCTATTTTATTTGAGTCGAACTCAGTTTCGACTCCCTCTCAACACACTACAATTTTCCTCTGAAAACACACAATAGTACTCGAAAACTCAAACGTGGACACACTACAGTACCCCTGTACTCGCTATCGCGTCCATTGACAAAATCTAATGATTCTCTCTCTCGATCCCTTCGTCTACGCCTCGTTCCATGAGTGGCCGCCGCGATGGCGCCACCTCCTGGACTCCTGCGTTGTCTCTGCTCCAAATCCCCAAAACGCGTGAAACCCAACCCCAGTCAAAAATTGCCTTGTGACGAATTACTTCGTCACAATATAATGGATTGACCCAAATAAAAATTTAACAATTTGGAAAAGCATCAAATTAAAATTTAAAAAAGAATTATAACACTGCTATTAATACACCTCTTTTGGATTTTATCATTCGTCGAAATAAGAAAACTAGTATTTTAAATGAAAATTACTAATACTATTAATTATTGTAACATGTATTAATTAATATTTCAGTTTAGTATTTATTTTTCAAAAATTACGTTATTTTATACTTTTATATAAACAAACAAAGCTCTACAAAATATTTTTATCAATTTTTCGTATAATTTTTCCATTCAAAGGCTGAATAACTAAAAATGTGTTTTAACCCACATCCTAATATTCTCATGTACAGGTGTATATATATATATATAAGCGACGACCCTACCAACATTTTTTCCCCCTAGTCACATATAAGTCACCCTACAATATTCACAGATGAAGTCTTGAAAGTTTCTTAATCCTTATATAAAACTGTTTCAAAGAACAAATTCTATATCGATTTGTTAGGATTTAGGAAACCCTTGGTATGTTTTCTTTTCACTTTCTTTTATATTCATTGATATATTAGTTTTTCCTTTCCAAATGTTTTCAATAAATTTCAATTTTTCTATATACCTATATATATATACTATTTTAATAAACACATTCTTGAACATAAAAGAGAAAAACTAAAAAAAGAAAATTTTTTCTCTTCAAATTAAAACAGAAATAAAAAAAAAATTTTAATAAAAATAACTTTAAATTAAAAATAAAGTATTTATTCAATTCATATAAAAAGAACGCATATTAAAATAAAAAAAAAAAAAAAAAAGATTTTTAAAACTTTTAATTATTATTAAAATACAGCTGAAATCGTAAAAATAAAACCATTATTAACATCAGTTTCCCATATATCAGAGACAGTTTATATTTTTATCGTTAATGAAAAAAAAAAACCCCCCCTCTCAATTACAAAAGGAGCATAAAAACATAACATAAAATTATAATCACTTTTTCTAATGACCCAGTAACAAAGAGCTGTTATCTCTTTTATATATAAATTACATCATGTTTGATTTAAATGAAGTTTATGAATGTTATGTAATTTCAATAAATGAATGGACATTAATTTTGAAAATATCTGGCATTTTTTTAATATTTTTTTTTTTTTTAAATAAAGCTTATTCGCAAGTATATCCACAGTTGTTATAAATATATATTGAAATTGTGTGAGTAACTTTTTTTATTGTTTACCTTTAGTTTATATAACTTGGGATTAATTTTAATTTTCTCTATAAGTGCATTAAGTATTGCGTATAATAATATCAATATTATTGAGTGAAAATTAATTTTAGAAAATGAATTTTTTTATTTTTATTTTAATTTTTCTTTTCTTTTTTTTTTTTGGTTTTAGTATATATAATAAAACGTTTTCCACGCAGACGCGATTATATCGATCTTGAGTGAGAGTAGCGTTGTAAAATGAAGAACAGCAGATTCATGCCCTAGTCGACTACCGGGGGTCGACCCGATTAGAACTTAAGCGAAATGCCAGATCACGCAATTATTATTATATTTTTCTTTTAAATATATAATTATAGAGAATGTGGTTTTAACCAAGTGAGAACGACTCTGTATATTTTACAGGAAAGAAAAATGTTTTCAAAACAATTTTATAATAATTTTTTTTTATCATTTCAAAACATATTTTTTATTTAATATTTTAATATTAAAAATTTTTTTTTTAATATTTTCAACATTTTCAGATAATTAGAAATTATTTTTTTAAATATATTAGTTTAAATAAAACAATTAATTAAGAAACGTATAAATATTACCAAAAAAAAAAAAATATTATTGTTCTGATTTTCCAGATTATTCAAATAATAAAAAATTTGTACTTTTGAATTCGAGTTTACTAATATTATTCTATATTATTTTAAAAGTAATTTTTTTTACAGTAAAAATAATAAAATTTTAAAGAATTTTATTCGATATAATTATTTTTAAGACGAATTTTCATTTTTCAAATTAGTATTTGAGAAACTTTCATTTCAAACGAATTTTCATTTAAAAGATTTTTTTAAAGATACCAAATTTTTGTTCAGCAGAATTTTTATTTTACAAAAAATTTATTTTTATCTAAACTTTTGTTGAACTTTTTATTTAAAAAATTCTTATTTAACCGAATATTAATTTAACAGAATAATCTCATTCAAACAGAATTTTAAGTGAATCTTTCATTGTCCGAAACAAAAAGATTTTAGCGCACGACTTTTAAAATTGAACAATCACATTTTTTTTTATAATTTCTGATTGGTTAATTTTAATAATCGCGCCAAAATCATTTTATTGGTTGTTTGTTCGGCCATTAGCAAATTTTTGTCGAATAAAAAATTTGCCCTAATTTCCAATTATTCGAAATTGAAAATTGTCGACAAACAATCTACACAAAAATATCAGCAGGAATTTTAATATTAACCAATCAGAATGTTTATGATAATTTTTGATTGGTGAATTTTAAAAATCGCGCCGAAATCTTTTTGTTGATTTTTTTTTTATTTGTGCAATTTCGGACAAATGAGGATTCATATCATTTGAAGAATTCTATCAAATAAGAATTAGTGAAAATTGGCAATTCTAACATTTAAAAATTCAAATCACTTAAAAATTAAACTTAGAAACTTAAAAAAAAAAAATTATTATGAAAAAATGGAAATTTTTGTTCAAAAGCATAAAAAAATTATCGATAAAAAATATGAAAAATTGTGAAAGAAGTTGATATTTCAAATTTTTTCTGAAACTCTAAAACAATGAAAATTTCAAAAGGTTAAAATTTCACAAATAGAATTTTTTGTTCTGATTTTCATTATTTATCATAATTTTTACTTATTAGCGAAATGAAATGGCAAAATTTTCATATTTCAATGAATTTTTTACTTAATATATTAAAATTTCGATTCATTGGAAATTCGAGACTAATGCGAATTTTATAGGGAATAATCATGCGATTCTTAATTAATTGATAATATTGTTCTCTAAATTTTAATTATCGTTTAACACGATTTTTCAATCAAAACAATTTTCATATGTAGAATGTAATTTCAAAATTTGCAAATTGCACAATTTTTTTTTTATCGATCAGCAAAATTTCATTAATTAATCAAAATAGTTTCCTAACCAATTACTACTCCTCTTGCGAGTAAATCGCGAGCATATTAACAGATTTTTTTTTTTTTTTTTATCAAATTTATGTATAGATTTTTGTTTTAATTAATGTTAATCCATTATTTTTTATTTAACAAAATGGCGGCAATTTTAATAAAAAAATTTAAATTACTCAAAAACCCCACTTTTTTTTGCTCAAAAATTTTTTGTCGTTTGTCTTCATCGTGAAGAATAGTTTTTATAAAAATTTAACTTGTACACGATTCTGGTAGAAGAGAAAAAAATTTTTTTTTAATTTTTTAAGAAAATTTATTTTCTCTTCTACCAGAATCGAGCACAAGTTAAATTCTTATAAAAAATATTCTTCACTGTGAGCAAAAAAAAAGTGGGGTTTTTGAGTAATTTTAAATAAAAAATTTTTTTATTAAAATGTCCGCCATTTTGTTATTTTTGAGCATTTTTTAATTTTTCCAATGGATTTTGAATGAAAAATAAACGATCATTCAAATAAAAAAAGAAAAAAATGAGACAACTAAATTACTTTAAAAGTTATAACACTTAAAATTTTTTTTTCCTATAAATTTTAGATAAACGACAAAATGAATTTGAACTGTATTATTTTTATTTATCTGCATTATTATTTTTTTTCTCTATTTTATTTTATATTTCACTGAATATGTTGAACAGTTTGCAAATAAGTAAACATAATTTTGTGCTCTTAAATAATAATAATAAACAATATTGTTTGATAAAAGCTTTTCACGTAAAAATGTTTATTTAATTAACTATATTAATAATATAATCACTCGGTTTATTAATTTGTGGAATCACTTTTGCAAAGCATATAAATAACAACTTTTTCAATAATTGCATAAAAAGATATTCATTTGAGTGGATCAAATGTTTAATAATGAGGAAACAGAATATAACGTTTAATTAAAATTGTTCGTTATGAAAAAACAACAAAAGAAAAGTAAACAAAGAGAATTTTGGAAAATATAGAAATGTAAAATAATATTTAAATATATATATGTATAATCTGCTTTAAAACTGAAATGTGAGTAAAATATATTTGGCAATCGATATACAATTTATTTATACAATATATATATATATACGTTAATTTACAAAGATACTAAAATGTTGGGAAAAATTGCAATTTTAAAAATCTACATAAAATACATCGTCTACGTGACTGGAATAACTTTTTTTTTTTTTTTACTTGCGAACTAGAACAAAATGGGATAAAAAAGGATTAAAAGAGATAAATGTGAACAAATTTTCGAGAAAAATGTTAACAAACATTTTGAGTAATTAATATAAAGTTGTTTATATAAATTTAATTCAATGAAATATATACGTTTTTCTCGCATGTTGAATTTAAAGGAAGAAAGAAAAAAAGAGAATAGAAATTACATTTCCCTTAGATATGCTTTTAAAAGTAGTAAAAGCACATTAAGTTGTTAACAATCTTATCTTTTTTTTTTCTTCTTTTTTTTGCATTTATATACACTTTAAAAGCCTTCTCTCTTTTTTTTTTTTTTTGCCCGCAAAAATTTTGTTTAAAGATTAATTTTTCCAAGTTAATCATTATCGTCAACATTATACCTATATATATATATATATCTCTCAGGAATGAAACTAAAATGATTGTACTTTTAATTATAGCGACCTTATTTCGATATTCGTTGCATACTAAATAAGCGAATATATAGCAATAATTATTATACAAGGTGCTGGGCAAGGTGATATGCAAATTTCATCGATTTGTCGTATCTAAATCTAACTATGGGTATCGTGCAGTGAAAAGTTCTGATAAGAAATGCATATACGTGCAGCCGAGAAATACGTTAACTACTTTGAAGTAGCGATCATAAGCTAAATTCTAACGCGAAGAAGATTGTAACAAGAGAGCGAGAGAGATGCAATTTTCTATATTTATGAAAAAAAAAAAAAAAAAAAAATCTCTCTATAAAAGAGAAACT